ACACCTTTTTTTTTTTTTTTTTTTCTTAAGGACATGTTTTTAAAATGGGAGCTTTGATATTTAATGTGTTAAAAGTTCCAAATAAAAAATTACGCCAATACTTGTTCTGAAATAAATTCCAGCGCTTTTAAAACTTTTTTAAAATCTTTTAATACTGATAAAAAATGTTTCCTAATTTATTGGGTTATTCAAAGAGATGGACCCAATGTAGTCAATTTGAGTTTCGTGTCCTTTTTTTTAGAGGGATTTCCAGAGATTAAATTAGTATTGAGTACGCATTAAAATTCCGATTTTATTTTTTAATCAAAGAATTGTTTACATTTCCGCTTCATCACAATATAGACATGAATTTTATCATTACGATTTCTTACAATCATAATTTGTCTTAAAAAGTTAATTAAGAAAAAGACCGCTTGGGCAGTAGCAGACGGATAATCGTTGTATTCGTTTCGTGTGTAGGGCGAGTTCAGCTACTATTTAAATGTTTGCTGTGCAGTAAAGGGGGGGAGGATTGAACATTAGCAACCTGTGTTAAAAAGCATTGAAACTTTCCTTTTCATTAGTATGCTGATTGTTCATATCCAATTTAATATGATTTGTTGAATCATTGCATATAGATTAGTTAAGTTGTATCCATCTTGTTCTGGAATTTATATCTTACCTCATTGCTCTACTCAACTTTTCATAAGTCATTCTTGGATTCTGCTTTCGATCTCCCCAAAGACGAGCAACTTTATCTGACTGAACAAATTTAAAAATTCCATCTTCTCTTCTTTCCCAACGAATCATGCTTGGATTAGTGGCAGGATTTAGTAGAAGGTCTCGTATGAACTCCCACAGCTTACCACTACCCTTGCCTAAAATTAAAAAATATATATTGCCTGAAAAGGCAGGATGTTCTAAATTACACTATAAGTTTTTAAAACGGGAAAACAAATTCTTACAACAAATTCAGGTAACAAGGTATGAATTTTTTTTCTTAGAGTTTTTGGTTTTAATTCAAAAGTTTCCTGACAGATGGCGCTGTAAGTCTCTTTTACCATTTTTTTCGTGGGTTTTTGATGCAAAAAAATTTCGTTTTCCGATTCTATACTAAAAATTTAGTAATATGTAATATTTATTAATAATTAACTTTTATTCATTGAAAAATTGTGATTTTCATATAACTTTTCCGATTTGCAGTTGCTATTTGCATCCATCTGTTAAAAGAACCAAAAATAGGAATGAATTTTGGGAGAAATGTATGCCTTATCACGTGAATTTGATGCAAGAACTTTTTTCCTGTTTCTAAAAAACGTTAGTTTATGACGTTTGGTAGAATCACTACTGGATAAATAGGGATGAAACTTCTAGTACTCTGGCATCTCTGGGAATGTCTGTGTGGATGAAAGGAATGTCTTTGCTTGTGCGATCGAATTTGTTTATGTCGGAGCAGTCTTTATTGACAGCAAGATTTTTTGAAGACTCTTGTTCTTAACAAATTTTCTTGAGCATTCTTAGCGCACAAAGTATATATTTCTAGAAGACTTCCTGTAGAGATGTATACGTCTCTTTACATACTTGTCGACCGAAAATCTTAGACGTGCACAGAGTTTTTGCATTAGGAGGCACTATAATAAATTTTCATTGCAAAGTGCACAAAATTCAAAAATTTGACACAGATGCATATAAATAACATAAAAGTTAGAAATTTTTTATTTTATATAAATATATATTCTCGTTTATTAAGATATCGTTATTGAGCTTAAGAGGAAATTTTTCTATATATCCTTTGAGTTTGTTATGTCAACATTTGGTGTCAAAAACATACATCTAAAGACAGTTTTTTTTAGATCTTTCGCATGTTTTATTTAACTCCCTCTTGAAGTTCATTTTTAATATTTTATTTGTCCTCAGCAAACTCTGGAAAAATACTGTAGTTTGATTTGAATCGCAATCAACACCCTCTCGACAGTCCCTAATATTTGGACTCCAAATAATGGGCGGAAATTTCGCCCACTGAATTGTTTGTGAAGTATTTGTATTTAAAAAAATATTAAAAAATTTATCTTTTCCAGACTAAAATCGCCATGATTAATTGGTAAATTTAGAGGTATGGGAAATGTTCTATGTAATACAAAATTCTATGTAACGCAAAACCTCGCTTTTCGATATATCTTTTATTGTATGGGGGACACTGGTTTTTTGATTTAGGGGATGCTCTCAGGGATGTTGGGATTTACGCGCAGAAGGTAAAACTATTTTTAAATTAAGGTTTGCAAGAATTGATTCGCGCATTGCTATTATTATAACCTAGTTTATATATATTAAAATAATATTAATATGAAAATTAATATTAAATATATCTATATGAATAAGACCTGTTTTCTATTTTTTTAAAGCTATACTATAAATTTTTGTTTATTTATCTAGCGTTGTAATGACTGAACTTTAGTATTGGTCGCTATATATACAAACATGCTTTTAAGCTAAGAACTAGCATACTTTTCTCAGAGAAAAATCTTAGGATTTTTTAATGGTGTAATTGTTGAGGCACAAAATAAAAAACTGAACACTTTAAAACGTTTCATCGAATTATTGTCAAGTACTAAGTTTCAATCTTAATGGTTCGAGTTTCCAACTTTAAATATGCAAACGATATTCAAGACACAGAATATTAATTTTGATAAGCAAGCCTTTCCTCGACAAATTTTTGACTCTCAAAATAAGGGAAAGGATAGTTGCAATCTGGAAAATAAGATCTCAAAGTGCAACTAGGAGAGAGGTTGAAAGTTCAATGATAATTTAAATTTGCGATTATTTCTACTGAGATTTTTAAACGAAAATTTCTTACACACAATTATAAAATTCGTTTATTCGAAGAAAATTAATTCCATACAAAAAAATAATTTTTATACTCATTTATTATGTTATTTAATAATCGTAAAAAAATTTAGTTGTCAGGTAAATAAATTTTTACATATTAAACTTTGTAATTTTAAATAACAAAATAAAAAATTTGAACGAGCTCTGTCAAATATTACTGAAGTAGAAATTTAAATATACAACACAATACAATAAGACTATTTAAATATATGAAGATTTTTAATTACTGAAATTGATGGCATTTTTTGAAAACGAAGAAATGTTTCCTTCATAACTTTATAATGTTCATTGTTTATATCGTTAAAAAAAAATCACATAAGTATTATTGCAGTTGTTGAGTAAAAAATTTAAAAATGTTAATTATACCTTGTTTCCCACGAAGTTTACCATCTTTTTTTGGCGGTCTTCCTCTTCTTCCAACTTTCTTAATACAAATTGTTTCTAAAATTAAACATCAAGAATTATTTACTGCCCAAACATTCAGTGACTAAAGAAGCCAAAAAGTTTTGCTCAGTTCAAATGACTATTTATATTGAATTAAGCACCATTTAAAATTAATTTAAATGTGTTTAGTTAATATATGCTAATTTCACATTTATCACTTTAAAAATACGTATGAGGTGAACCGGGTTCAAATCCCAGCGATGGCTGGTCGATACGAATTCCGCATCCAGCTTGCACCGACCACAGTGCTTACGTAAAATATCCTCAGTAGTAGATAGAGTATGGGTTAGAGTCCCCGTGTTGTCAGATTTACAGTGGGAAGTTTTCGTGGCTTTCCTCTCCATGTAACGCAAATGCTCGTTAGTTCCATCAAAAAGTCCACTACGAAGGACCCAATACTTGATTCGGGATACTTTTCCCAATACTTGATTCGGGAGTTCCCTTGTCTTCTGCATTGGGTTCAAAATTACAAGACTACGGGATTGAACAATAGTAATCGTTAACCCGAAAATTGGGTCGGCTGTTCACCGACGGTTACAAAATAAAAAAAAATTAATAAAATGTTGCATTGTTTGCACTCGTAAAAAATATGTAAAAATTGAGAATTATTGATTGCTTTTAAGAATCTCTTACAAACTATTCATCCGTCTAATTAAAACTTTTTTTTCCGGCAAAATAATATACTCATTTAAACGCTTCAGAACATATGAAAGACGTTTTAGAATATATATGCATCCTGATGACTCGAAATTATCTAGCAATACAGGGTCGGAAATTTTTTGAAGAGAGGGTGTAAACAGAAAAAGTCATCCGTTTTAAAAATAAGAGAAACATTCTTCCACCGAATTCAATGCGCATCTGCGGCTCTTGGAATTCGAAATATTCTGGAATAATTCTCGGGCGAAATGATGATTCCCAGCAAAAATAGTAGGAAAATTTGCGCAACACCATCGTCTTTTCGGGAAAGCATTTCCGATCCTGCATTATTATGTGATTTCGAGTCTTCAGGATGATTCAGATAAAATTATAGCTTTGCTTTGGGTACGAGGGTATAGAGTTTAAGGTACGCGAACTATGACTTTTTTTCTTTCCAATAAATATTTCTTAACATATAGAGAATTTCCAAACAAATTGCCGTTTTTTATTATTTTCATCATTTTAGTATCATCTACGCAAAGGAGCATAATCAAAATTAAAACTTTTATGGGTTATGTTATTATTTTCATAAGTTATGTTATTATTTTGCCAGACATATTACTAAGAGATCGGTATATCACTGCATTTCTCTTCTAAATATCTATCCTAAAATAAAGATTGCACTTACGTTGTTTTGGAAAAGGTCTTGCCATGGTATTGAAAATCATTCCCAGCTCTTGCCTTTCATTAACAGTACTCATACTACTACCTGCACTTTCACGATCAGAATCTAAATTTAAAAATGTAATCTTTATTATGTAGTAAATATCTTATTATGCAGTAAATGATTTATAATGCAGTAATACAATTAATATGATTACAAATGAAGAGCTCAGCGGATGAACCAGTTAAATAACATTTTCAGAGTAGTTATAATCAGGGGAAAAAAAGTGGTATTTGATTTATTTTATTATATATTAATTAGAAAGCGGAGAAAATTATTCTTTGCTTTATTTTAATTACCCAGCTAAAATTAAACTGCAGTTTTTCTGCAGAACTGAAGTAATTTTGTAGTTTTTCTGGAGTTAACTGCAGATTTTCTGTAGTGCAATCTTAACNAAGCAAGCGTATTCAAAATTTATGTAGATTAGTTATGTTAAAATTAAAGTGAAAGCAATTATTTTATATTAAACGTACCTATGCTAATGCGACCAATTTGTGTAATTTTCCCTAATTGATGAATATCCTGAAAATGTCACTTACCTGCTTCATCCACTAAGCTCTTCAAATGCTTACGCATTTGAAGATGCAGTAGTAAGATAAAACAAATATAAAAGAATGTAAAAAAAATTGACGAAATTGGATTTCTACCAATCAGAAGACTGGGGTAATTTCTTCATGTTCAATATGGTTTACAATACTATCAGAAAAAAACTTCCTTAACTTCTAATCTAGGGATCGGATTTTCATGTACTAACATGCAACTTTATTGGTTCGAGGATGAAACCTTAAATATGCTAATTAATTTGTACAGACGATATGGTGAAATTAGAAACAAACACGTAATTTCTCTGAATTAGAATTTTTTTCCCTGATGGATATAAAATTTTGACCCTCAAAAACCAGTATCTAAAATATATAGTTCCAATAATTCAGACAGAATAGTAGTGTAAATCTCTCAATGTTAATTTTATATGAAATTATATGTGTTCAATTAATGAATTATAATCACATGTAAAGCATATTTTTTTTTGTTTATGTCATAGAAATTTGAGGCCAATGTTTACCCAAGCTCACATAAATTATTAAGTGAATGAATAATTGGTACAAGACACAAATCAATAACAGTCAATTTTTCAGAATAGGTGGTCAGAAACTTTAGTGATTTAGGGTCGACAAAAAGATGCAGGTAAAGGTATGTAGGTACTTTATTTACAACATACTAGAGCTGCAGAATGGGGACGGTCTGAGAAACATCCCTGAGGATGAGGCCACTTCCTCAATTTAGACATAGATCTGAAGGGGCAGAAAATTTTCTCCAGACCTCTGTATCTCTGCCCGGCGATCGACTACAGGATTTCCGATTCCGCAGATTTTACGAGCATGTAGACAGTGGAGTCAAGAATCGAACCGGTTCTCTAGCCACTGGGCTACCCCGGACCCCAAAAGTCTGTGTCAGGTTGACTTAAAATGGAAGAATTTCTCTTTCATAAGCAGAAAGATAACATTGCTTACCTACAAATATTTTCTTAACATAAAGGGTTAAGATTGGTGAAATAAAGTTCGTTTTTACTTTTCTGCACCATAAATAACTATCTCCATTTTGCTTTTTTTGTACAGTATTCCTCATTCAGCCAGCAGAAAATATATTTCCACCAAAAATTTGTTATAAAAATTTTCTAACTTGTTATAAAAATGCACTTTTCGTAAAGTAAAGTATTCACTCAAACACCCGTTGTAGGTCAAAACTTGACAATTTTATGGCATGATTGTGTCAATGAGTTGGTGCACAGATCACCTTTACTGCCCAGATAAGCTGGTGATCTGAAGGAGCTTCAACCCGGGACATGTGAGTGTTAACAATAAGGTCGGAGCGGAATATTGTGTGTCTCTTTGTTGTGAACGATGTGTTGAAATTCAAGGAAATTTAATTCATGTCATTTTTTTTATATTTGAACGTACCAATTCATAGGATTTTTCTAAGTTTCAAATGTTCTAAAAGATTGTGTGCAATAAATCGAATTAAGGAAATCATGATATGAGTTAGGGTTGCTATGTTTTGAGAGTTATCTTCAGTTTTTTACGTGTTTGGCAAAGTTTATAATTTCAAATTGAACGCTATATAGCACCAGTCAAGTGCAACAACTATATAAAATGCCGTGGTTGTTAAGTTTATACGTCAAAATAAATCGTAAATATATGTAACCCAACGCAAGTTATAAGTAACCCATCTGTGCTCAATTTTATACCGGTGACTTGAAAAATCGTCGTGGACTTCTCTTACTATGCCGTTATATGGAGCTTTTACTGTGTTAAACAAGGTAATGCAATATTTTATCTATTAACTTTAGTCTTTTACGATAGAATTGACTTATTTGATAAGCATTAAAGAATTGAGTATGAATTTTACCACATCCAGAATATCCAGATGTAGGTCCTTGAGCTTCTACAAACACATTATTCCATCTTGTGCATTTTTCCCATTCTACATCATCCACAAGATCGTGATCAGATGGTAATAAATGTTCTGAAATGGATGTAGGAGCACCTGGAGGGAAATCAAATAGCTTCATTAACTTTTAAACAAATGGGATATACTGTTGAAATTTTCATTCTAAGATTACGGAAAAACGATCTATCTATAGAATTAATAGTAAAGTTTAGGGTTATTAACATTTCTTTACTTTTACGGGTTCGAAAATGTTTACAACTGGTATGGTTCAAAAACCGTGAATCATTTTGTAACCATTTATAACTAGCATGGTGTCAAAACTGTAAGAATGAGTTTATTTTATTAATTTATTTATCTAGTGCTATCGATCGTGAGAGATGGATAATGCTGAACTGCTTGTATTAAGCAGCTTTGTTATGTTGCCATCAATGCGTGAATGAGAGTTTCGTATTCAAATGGTCCAGAGTCACCAACTAAGGAGAGACTGGAAATTCCTCATGTGTTGAACGAATTGCGAAAATATTGTGATATCAAAATTGGAATTTGAACCCCCATTTAGCCGTTCATGAGAATGACAAATCAGCCCTTAAGTATGCACGCAGCAGCAAATAATTAAATGGCTTTATAAGATGTTCACCACACACTATGAGATTATTGGGTACACGCTGTTATGTTAGACATCCGATTAGGATAAATTTGCAAACCTTATCACGTGGCTTAGCTTTCGAGGAAAGCAAGCTTGATTCTCATTGATTGTATCTCCTAGTTGGCGCTGATAAGATTCTAGTTGTTTAACCGTATTAGGTAAAAACAGTATAACATTTTCTTCCTCACAGTTAACTGATAGAATTCCATTTATTTTATGGTTATTACATACTGTTTTGGTTGAATATGGTAAAACAAAATAAAATAATAGATTTTTATTTTGCCATTTTTTAAGAGAAATTTATAACAGAGTGTGACAAAATGTACTAATTTTTTCTGAAATTTCCATCAAAAGCACACTTTTATTTTTTCTATCTAAATAAATTTTGTTGGTTTCTAAACACTTTTGTTATACTCTATAAAAAAATATAACAGTCTACAAACACTGTCATACTACACTACAAATAATGCAAATTCGATTTTCTTTAAATACAGAATATCATATCGTCTGCGAAATTTCTATTTTGGACATAGCTTGAAATGCGTGTTTAGGAAAATGGGAACAATTTTCAAAAGCGAAGTTTGAAAAACGGCATTTTCGTAAACACGCATTTTGAGCTGTGTCCAGAATATATATTTTTATGATCATCCTTCCTTCATGTCCTTCAAAAATTCGATATGAATAATTGCATTTTGTATAAAAAATTGTACATGCATGCGCAATCATTACATGGTGCATTTAAGGGTGCAATTAATGGTGCATTAATGGTACATTAAATTAGAAATAAGAAAGAAGTTTTGTAACATTGTTGCATGAACGCATATCTAATACATATATGGTAAAAATATATAAAACTGCAACTTTTCCGTTATCAACTTGGTTGCAAACAGTTATATATTACAAGGGAGCTGGCAGAATAATATAAAAGGGGGTGCAACCCTCTAACAAACAACCCCTCCCCCCCAAAAAAAATATTCTGTTATTACATTTTGTTTTGTTATTACATATACTTTCATCTGTTAATTTTTTTCAAGTAACATTTCTTCATTGTTAACAAGATATTTAAAAAAAAGTACAAATTTCTTGTATTTGCAGATTTTACCACGAGAAATTGTATTGATGGCGCTGGTATAGCTACTGACTTTGAAACACAAATAACTACAAACAGTAGTTTTGTATACTAACGTGTTTCTGCACGCTTAATAATGGTATTTATTGTGGTGATGAAGTTTTACAGTTGTGAGAAGTCAGTATGTGTTATACAACTTTGTTAAACTAAATAACTAATAGAAAATATAATATTATTTTATTATCATTCGTTCGTTCTATCATTTCGTTTGGAAGGGCTTCAAACGTACCCTTGGTTGGCGTACTCAGAAAGCGCAAAAGGGCCTGTTTGTCGCGTCTGCGTTTTGTTTCGACCTCCAGCTCAAAGAGGTGTGCTAGGACAATTTATTATTTCTCCTTGCGTTAAATACCACAAATTTAATGAAGCAGCAAAATCACATGAAGTGTCACAGTGGCATCGTGAAACACTCACATCTTCTAAAAATTTTGAAGATGTTATGAACAGAAAACAACTGAGTGTATATGAATCTTTAGATTCGGCATATAATAAAAAAATTGAAAACAACAGGCTTAAGCTTCGATCTATTATAACAACAATTTGGTTCATCGCAGAGCACTTCCTTTTCGGGGCAAAAATGACGAAGGATCTGTTCTCAAAGATCTGCTGCACTTTCGTGTTGAATTTGGAGACGAAGTTTTGAAGGCACACTTGGAATCAGGAGGATATACTTTTAACAGCTGTTACAACGCCAGCATACATTGTATCACTTTTTGTTATTGCTACTTATTCTTCCAAACTTGAACCTGTGTGCAATCAGTTGCAAAAAGTAAACACAGATCTAAAAGAAGTAACTGATTACGTAGTCAAATTGATAGATGTGCTGCAAATTAATCGAAATAATGCTTCTGAAGAGTTTACTACAATTTTCACGAAAGCAGAACACATTTGCGAAGAATTAGGCATTGAAATGAATCGACCTCGAGTGGCATCTAGACAAGTTCATAGATCGAATGTGCCTTCTGAAAACATAGCAGAATTTTTCAGGAGGTCAATCTTTATTCCTTGAACTCCATTATATCTCCGTTGAAGGACCGTTTTTCTTCAACACAAAGAAAAGTATTTTCACCCTTTAGGCTTCACCCGAATTCGATGAACAAACTGGACAAAGCTCCATATCTTGAAGTTTTATCTAGTTATTGAGGCCACGCCGTTTTATCCAGCTGTAGCGGAGGCAATCAAAATTGGCCTAACTCTTCCAGCTACTACATGCACTATTGAACGCACTTTTCGTACAATGCGACGCATCGAAACATGGAATAGGTCTACAATGTCTCACGAGAGATAAAGTAGCTTGTGCATGCTCAGTGTGCATAAGAAAAGAATCAAAGATGACTCAGAATTCATTGAAAAAGTTATAAACAGATTTGGACAGCTAACAAGACGATTATAATTCTTGTTTGATTAAGCAATTTTTTAATTGTTATGTATCAATAATTGCTTAATTATTTGTTTTTGAATGAAAATATTTTTAATAAAAAATTTTATACTCTTTAATTGTTTAAAAAAAAGCCAGGGCGTGAAAGTGCACCCCGCAGACGGCGCCCTTGATATGTTATTTTAAGAAAATGCACACATTTGACATGTTTTATCGTATCCCTTATTCAAAAGTTAAAATATAATTTTTTTTTATAAACTTTTAATATTTATTTTTTAAATTTCGGTTTCAGGACCATGTCGATAATAACAAAACGATTACATTGCATATAAAAAATATTATTGCATATGAGAAAGTACAAAAACAAAAATACCTTTAGAAATGAAATCTACTATCAAAAGTCTCATAATCGACATTTTCTTGTGTCGTAAAAACGTGAATGCATTCAAATCACATTAGTTACTGGAACATATGGTTGTGCAGTTTGCAAATAAAGTCAACACCCTGAATAACTTATAATCTAATAATCGGATTTTCACGCAATAGAATGCCATGGTTTGAGGGTTAAATATGTTAATTAATAAATGTTAATAAATAAAATATGTTAATTACTGTGTGTAGTCGATATTTTAAGTTATGAAAACAGATTCAGAATCGTACTCTCTCTGAATAAGTATGCCTTTTTTATAGATGGATTCGGATTCTTAACCCTGAAAGAAGAAGAGGGGTATAGCAGGGTTTTTGTCCCACCCACAAGCCCAAAAAAATCTACAAAAAATCCCTATAAAACCTGAACTCCAACTGGTTTTTTTTATAAGCATTAAAATCTACCCTTATATCAATTGTTATTTCTTATTTGACTTATAAATATTCATTATGCATAATATGCATAACCCTATTTTCAGAACTTAGTGTATTTAGATAATATGTAATTTTAAAATAATGTTATAGTTTTTTTTGCTTCAACATTAAGAAAAATCATTTTTTTTAACCAATAATTTGGGATTTCTTAATGTTACTGTTTTGAATTTAACAGGTGCAGAGTGTAGGCTGGAATAATGTTGTCTTTCTTTTATCTCCTTAATGAATAAGTTTTCAAATATGAATGTTTTTATAATAAGAATATTTTTGCTTTATAAAATATACAAATGGATAGATTAAAATATTTCGTTAGTAGAAATATTTTAATGATACAAAATAATCGTTTAAATATTAAAATTCATTAAATTTCAAACCATGATGAAATACTGCATAATATGAAAATAACGTTAACTTATTTTACATTATAAATTTTATATAAACTTTGGAATGGATTCACGCTGAAATAGTGATAATTGAGATGATGTGTATTTTTTGAAGAAAAAAAATGTACCATGATAATTAAAATATGTATTAAATTTGTTTGATATAATAATAATAATTTTTCCTTCTTTTTAAAAGTTGTTTTGAAGTCATTAACCATTTTTAAAATTTGTGGGTGAGGGTGGAATAACCTGGTCGGTAGGGCGTTGGGCCCATGTCCAAGAGTTCGTGAGTTCAATTCCGACCAACCGAAAACTCCCCGTGCAGTAAATGGTGACTGGTGCACGATAAATATGTCGGGTCGCAAATTCTTCCATGTTCCCATAACAAACAAATCATAGCTCTAGGGGTGCTGAATTGAAGATTGATCTTTCTTTGATTAAGGTCGNCACATCTAAGAGATCAACTCTGTTTTGATTGGCCTAAAAAGTTTTTGAGATATAACGAAATACGCAAAAAGTAAAATTAACATCAAGGGGTCCAAACTTTGGAGCACTCTCTTCATCAAACTACTGAGACTATTTTTCCAGATTGCGGCTGCCCACTAAATATTTATTTATTATTTTTTTTTTTGTGTNTTTTTTTTGGGGGGGGGGGGAATCAGAAATCCAAATCCGTGGAAAAAAAGGTATGTTTATTCAAAGAAAGTAGGTTTCTGAGTCTGATTTCGTAATTTAAAATATCGTCTGCACTTATTAGTTAGCATATTTAAAGTCACCCCTTTAAGCCATTAAGAATGAGTCCTAGAACGTGAAGATTCGATCATTAAATCAAAAGTTATTCAGGGTGTGGGGGGTGCACCGCCGTTCCCTACTTTTTATTCCTAAATTTCATTCGTAAATACAAGTGTTCTGTAATATCGACCTTTAATGCTTTGAATCATTATATAAACTAAGTGTAGAAACATTAGATTTTAACCATTATGTATATTAATATTTAAGTAACAAGAAGCATTTTCAAATTTTACTTAATTACTATTAAGTTCAATAAAAGCAAAGGTAAGATTATCTAAAACCAGTTTTTTTGAGGATATTGCCTTAAGATCACAATTAGTGAAATGCATTCCAATTTTATTAGATAAATAAACTAGTTTTTGTTATTTTTGTTTCATTATTTAACAATGATTGATCTGAGCATAAAAATCTTTTTTTCTTTATTATTATTACTTAAATACGCATCCCATACTGTGCATACTTTTTTAACACTATTTTTACAATGGATTCTAAAAAATATATGCAGGGTGCTCCGTAATCACCACCCTTAATGTATACTTCTTGATTTTTCTATAAAACTAAATAAAGAAAACCGCAATCGAAAATTGTCAGAACTGTATTGATAGGATGAAAATCCCTGATATTGTCTTCTAAAAATAAATATTGAATAATCATCTGAGACTTACTATATTGAGCAACAAGATAGTGAAATGCATCGTATAGAGCACTGCCATATTGATTATCGATGGCGCAAAACTCTTGTCGGCTCATTCTACTTAATTCCCGGCCAGTGAGTGTGTTAAATATCAGCATATTCACATCTAAGAGATCAACTCTGTTTTGATTGGCCCAATAAAAGATCCAGTCTATAACATCGACAGATTGCCATTGATCAGGAGCTTTGAACTGCCATGGGTTTTCAGCTTCTAATTCTCCGATATCTAGTAAAAAGAAAAAAACTTTTTTGTTACTTTTTTAACATTAGAAGACCAAAGGGAAAGCTGAGAAAAAACGAAGGTTTGAGAAGGAACGATTAAAACCGTAAAAATAAAAAAAAGTATACGAATGTCATAAAGATTTATTTACATTCCCCAAAAATTTCAAAACAAAATTTACAATTTTGATGTAGAAAAAAAATTTGGTTGGACAAGAATCGATTTTTCTCCAATCAATACTTCCTCACTAGTATTCCCCTCGTTTTCGTCACTGATCCTTAAAATGCAGCACTGTACTCTTCGTTGTTCAAAATACGGAGGTTTTCATAAATTCATATTTCAGGATTTAATAGGGATATTTTGTCGCTCTTTTGTGGACCCTCTCTGTTAACTGTGCTTATAAATATCGTTATCCACTACCTCCTTCCGTAAAAGCGCTCCCTTTTTATAATGGTAAACGTATGCAGTCACCATAAAAAGTATCCTGAAGGGATTTCTTTTCACCTTGAGTAAGGTAATGAGTAGGTAATGGACATTCTTTGAGATAAAAACCACATAAATGTGCATTGCATGATGCAATATAAACTTCAAGCGAGGTGACCGAACCATTTTTCCTCAAGCGCGTGGAGAAGAACCATTTTCATTAATCCTCAAAATTCAGCTTGATAATCCTTAAAATGCAGCAATCCAATCGTCATTTTCGTGAAAAAATGGAGATAACCAGTTCTTCTCCCTTGGGGTCTTCATTTATTATTTTTATTAATTAAATAGTTTGATTACTCTTATTTTTTAGTAAGAGACCGTAAATGAACAGACTCGTTAATTAGATAAAAAATGATTTACTGTGGCATAGTAAATGATTTTTATTTTCAAAAAAAGATGATTTAGAGTAGCAATCTGTGTAAGATTTACAAATTACCCATTGATCAGCAGAGAAAAAAAATTATTACCTAAAAATAAAAAGCATGAAACTCTGAATGAAATGTCAGAAAAAATCCTCTTTAATTTTCACAGGTAAACTAATAATTGATGTTTGATAGTAAAATAACTGATAATATAATAAGTGATAGTATAATAACTGATAAAATGATAATTGATAACAAATAACTAATAACTGATAAACAGATAAGGGGTGTTCCATAAAATTCATTTTAGACTATAAAACAAAATTTATTAAAAATGAATTATGAGCAATTATATCATATTAAATTATGTTTTATTTCACGCGTTTTCTTACCCTATACCATCAAATCTTGCTAACCGATCAATTATTATCGTGTAGTATTATTTATTAAAAAATTTTTATAATTCAAAATTTGTAGAAAACCTCTTAACATTCCGAGTTTTTTCCTTTTTTTAAAAAAAATTAAAGTACAATAACTACTTAGAAACTTGATAGAAACTTTTTAAATTTTTAAGATATACAAATCAGACTTCTTCCGTTAATTAAATACGATTTAATATTTGTGGCGATTGCGCAGTTTGAAAAAGCAACTGCAAATATCTCGCATGTATTTTAAAATTTTTTTGTTCAAATTTTAAAATCATAATACTTCCTTTTTGGTCATTTTATGCAATTATTGCATAAAATAACCAAATAATGCAAATTATTGCTATATTTTGTGTCATAAGATGCTCAAAAATATACTTCATTTATTGCCGGTCCCTCAAACATCTGAAAGTTTTAAACTTTATTGATACATATGAGAAATTAACTCGACCTAACCTTTTTCTTAAAGGTATTTTTTGAAAAATTCAAGAAAATATCAAAAACTGAAAGTATCTTTTCCATTATTATAGGGTTGTGTATACGTTTTTGTGAGTATACTTAAAATTTAGGATCAAAGATTGTGCTTAAGGTTCTAATACAAAAGAAATTTCTCGCCTTAATAGGGTTATTTCAGTGTTTTTTAAATTGACATATAATATCTGATCTTACTGTCTGTGCTAGAAGCATTGAAAAGCTGTGTAATCATCTTTGCATCAAACTATGTATTTTCATCTTAACAATAATACATGCATTATTATTAAGATGAAAATGATCAATGCTACTTATTTGTCATAAATCTTGGAGCAAGAAGGACCGGTTTGTACCTGTTACTTATGTCATTTTAATTGTAACAAATAAAAAAAATTATTTTAATAGAATCATTCTAAACAATCGATTTACATTTGTCTGGCTATTACACGCAGTCGATTTGAGCTAACGCAAAATATGCAGAGCGTCCAAAAAGTATAAATATTAAAAAATCTCAAGAAATACGCATCGGATGAAAAATTTCAGAATACATATCTGAAATATTTTTTTAAAAAAATGCCTCCCCCCCCCCTCTGGTAATGGAGTGGAAAGTGATTTCAAAATCTCAAACAGGAACCCCACATTTTTTATTGCAGATTTAGATTTTGCAGAAATGAAGTACCCAATTCATCCCACAAGTTTCTGGATTCTGGTTCACAGGTGGAACTGTAATCGTAAAACAAAAATGAGTATACAATTTGTTTAGAATGAAGAACTCGACACATACATGTGGGATCCAGAAAATAAAAAAAAGACATGTTTTAAATAACAAATTGTGACTCAAAACTAGACCCCTTCCCCATCCCTTGAGACTGGGGCTATTCCCAAGAGGTAGGATTAGTTTTGTTGTCATTATAATAGGGTTTTTTTCAAAATTTCACACGCCTATTTTTTTTGATCTGGCTCACAATTCTAGAGATATCGCCATTTTAAACATTTGTAGACCATCTTGATTTTGCAATGACGGAACTATCTTAGAACCAAAATGCAAATACCCAAGCAAATGCAATAAATAAAAACTGTCGGATAATACCTATCTGAATCTGGTGCTGAAAAACTCCAAAAATTGTATGAATGAATAGTTTATTTCATGTTAATACCGAATCTAACGTACATACGTGTCGTAGTGTCTAAACACCAATAATTAAGAAAGCTTACACCTGCTCATTTACTCCATTCATGATTTATTTTCGCACAATTTTCGTATGTGTTTGAAAACCACCAGATGATAATGGCAGATTGTTTATAATTCAGCACAAGAAAGTGAAAGTTCGTTGTCGCTGAAGATTCTACAGAAATAGAAATTATAGAATACTATAATAATAGAAGAAATATATAGAAAGATAGAAATATATAGAATACATAGAAATAGAGAATAGATAGAAATAGAAGAAATAGATGACTGTGGCATGTATGTTTTAGTTGTGTAATAAAGATAACTATGAGAAGACTTAGATAAATCTATCAAATGCATTAAATAATTTTTTATTATTTTTTTTTCACTTCTATCCTAGTTCGAATTCTTCTTAATATTCTCTCGGTACTGTGTATATGCTTGATTTATAAACTAATTTTATTATAAGAATTAGTGTGTATCATATATGGCAGTACTTTTACTTTCGTTACTTGTACCGCCGNTAAAAGTAACGTTGCCATATATGGTGTGTATATATATTTTAAACTAAAGATTCTTATTTATATTGTATCGTAAAAAATTTTTTTTTACTGACTCTTATATCTTACTGTAATTATAAATGTTACTGAATAGCAAAAATGTTGGAAGGCAAGTACTGTAAAAGAACATTCTTGGTATTTCATGTTATGATTGTATGTTTCTAAAAATTTGTGACTAATAATTTTAGTAATTTTTAATTAATTATGGCCACAATTTTTTCTTTTGGACACGAGTATTTTTTTTTAAAGGTTCATTCGCGTTATTTTTTTGCTGATGTGTGGCTGGCTGAAGAGCTGCCGCTCCTGTAGAGGGGCTGGTCACGCTTCTGCGTGAAATATGAGTTGTTGTTTCTTTCATACCCATTATTTAAATTAATTAATTTTTTTTTATCATTCTCTGTCTTTTTATTCGATCTGAAATACTGAGAGTATATTTACGATCGAAATGGGCTACAGGTGGCGTAGAGCAGAACTCTCTATCTATGGCAACACTTTACATGCTTTCACCAATAGCGTGTGGAGAGTCATAGGAGAAGGAAGTACGTTAATTTCTGTCTTGATATTCATACAGATTAAAATATTTTAAGCTGGGATTACAGATTAAAATCTTTTAAGAAATTATATGGAACTGAAAACTACATTAAACATGGTTTTAAAATAAAGCATAAAGGAAATTTTGAAAAAATATTTTTATTAATTAAAAACGAAAAATATTAAGAAAAGGAAAAATATCGGAGTACATTCCTATACAACTGAAAAGAGAAGGGGAGGGAAGGGACGAAATCATGGAACCGATCTTTTCCCCAGATGGCGTATTCGAGCGTTGCGATCGTCTATATCAATGTTGAATGTTTACCAATTGTATTATTACTCTCATGAAATAAATAGTCTAGATAAATAAGATAGAATTAAAATTGATTTGAGCGCTTTATTTTAATGGTAATTAATTAAGTTTTTCCTAACTCGATTAATGTTTCTCTTTCAGCTAAGGTATTTATCTATTCTCGATGCAAATTTTTTACTGACTTATATCTTTGGCTTTCTAGCCTTACTTCCTTTGTTGTAACGGGTTTATGAAAAGTTAAGTAATTAAAATCTAAATCACAACGCGATGTTCGACTTTTATAGATATTTTGTTTTTCTGTCAGTTTAATTTACAGTTACAGCATTCAGTACACTAAAAACTATCCTTCACTGTAAAAACAGTAGTGTAATATTTCTCAGAATTTTATGTGAAATAACTCAAAAAATTGTGCGAAGGAATATTTTAAGTTAACAATCGAGCACTTATGCATGCTTAAAAGGATGTAGTTAAATCTGAGGACCAATAATGTTAAATACTTACGCCAAGATCACGTACATTTATACCATTCGCAAACTGTCTTTTTCTAAACACGCCTTTTTTGCGTACTTAGGATGTCATTAGTAGAATGTTTACAATCAATTACAAAATAGCGTGAGTTTTTTTTTTTTTTTTTTTTTTTTTTTTTNTTTTTTTTTTTGCCGCTGCTATAAGAAAATAAGTATCTTTTTAGTTACGTGATAAAGATACTTATATTTTAATTCTTAAATATCTGTTATTTGTATTAAGTAGTTTTAAAGTATTTACTTTTGCCTAATTCAAATTGTCTGTTAAGCCTAAATCATATTCGTTTTAATATTCTCTCTGTGTTACGTGAATGTTTGATTTAACGAACTATTTATAATTTGAGAATTAGTGTGTATATTTCCAAAACTAACTGTAGTTACTTTAAATTGTATCTTAATAACATTACTGACTATAATATGTTTCATATTTTGTTGATGTTATAAATGTTATTGTTACGAAATATCAAAATGTTGGCAGAATGTTCCAGGAATGTTCTTTTACACCGAATAGTGTAAAAGAACATTCTTGGTGTTTGACTATATCGGGAACTATACTTAGTTGTTGTCATAGTGAAACACCAAGAACCAAGAGTTATATCTGGTGTTTCATTACAAAATTTAATTTATTGTAAAATAGTCGCCACCATATTTTCATGCTGAGAAACAGTAAGTTTTTACACTGTTCGTTCATAGTGTAACGAAGCACTAATTACTAAGAGTTATCTGAGGAGTTTCATTACATTACTTTAGTGTAAAGTAGTTGCCACCATTTTTTGGTGCTAATATACGCTAAATTTTTTATAGTGTATTTTTACATTGATGAGTATTTTCCGAGCTTTCATACTTACCTTCAAAGCTGAATTGTCTTTGTGTGTTCGATAACAAATCTTGTGGAGTATTTGGAAGGCTTTCAAAGGAAAATTTGCCGTTCTCTTGATCATAAAAACGCTCATCCATGTAAATGCTCTGTAAGTGTACAAATTGAAATCGGATAAATTTGCATTTTACTAAAAATACAGGATATGTCACAAATGAATGCCTCAAATTTATACGTGCACTACGCAAAATATAATAATTGTATTCATTTAAAAAATATAAGCACGCAGATGTAATGCAAGTTTTGAGAGTACTCCTCACAAATGTTATGTATGCGCTTTCTTTGTTAAACGGCATAAGTCTGAAATGTAAGACTTGCCTAACTTTGTACAGCATGTCTGTATCAATGATGGCGAAAGCAGCTGTGATACAAGCTTTCAAATCATTCATCAAAGTTGGTCCTGGACGCACATATACGCGATCTTTTACGAACCCTCACAGTAAGAAATTGCATGGGATGAGATCTGGGGATCGTGGTGGCCGAAGCCAGAGGGAATTAATACTTATTATTGTGGAAGCGTGCGATATATGAAATTGGAGCATTTGTTTTGACTTACCCTGCAGATTAATCCCTTTAAAATATAAAATATTTACAAATTATTCAAAATTAACACATCTTACATAACACTGACTGTCTAAACAAAAAGAATTCATAATTTTAAGAGAATGAAAATAACACCTTAAGGCTACAATTAACACCTTGAAAAATAACGTGAGTAAAATATATATTTTGAAATTTACAAGATTTAATTTGTAAGTTTAAAAGGTTATTTAAAATTTAAGATTCAACATAGTTTGAAAGTTTATAAAAAATTTTGCAACTCTCAACGTTTCCTTTTTTTTGCTGTAAAGTTCATCATAAAATATCAAGCACTTATTTGACATCTATTGATGATAGGTTTACTTTTTTGAATGAATAATGATAATCGGCATCGAATGAAGCCATTCTATTTTACTTTATGTTAATGTTCTTCGATTTTAGTTTAGGGGAAACATTTTCAAACATTGAATAAATTTATTTCATTTTTTCATAGTTTATCCTTTTAAGATTATTGGTCTGAAATATTTAATTGATTTTCGTAAAATTGTAAAAGTTATAGCATAAATATGTCGAGCTCAGCGCACGATGCGTTGAGCTCGACATATCAAAGCATTAAGTGCATATCAGAATATATCACAATACATATCAAAACATTTAGTACACATCAAAACATATCACAAGACATATCAAAACATTTAGTACATATCAAAACATATCAAGACTTATCAAAACATTTAGTAAAATACTATCATTTTAACTATTTTATGGAAATAATTTGCTTAAATTATGTAAGAAAGATAATTAATGGCACTTTAAATATAAACAGTTGAAACTTATTTAGCTATAATAATTTTTAATGACGGTTGCAAAGGGACGGTTTTGAAACAATTAGAAATAAATGTAGTCAAAGAATATGCTCAAATTTAAGAGGACGGCAGAATTTCAGCTGCTATTATAAAAACATACGAGACGTCATGTAAGGGTAAATTAACAAAAAAAAGGGCTTGAGACTGCTGAAAATGATGAAGCATCTTAAAGATCTAGTATTAATTCGCACGGCAAAATGTTTTTTTGGATGAAGAAACTTTAAACGCAGTTTATTCGAAACTATGTTTCTCTTACTTAATATATTTATCTAACTAGTACAATTTTCAACAGATTTACTTGAAATTTTGGCACTATGTTCATATCAAATATAATATTCGTATCACGTAGGGAATTTTAATTCGGTTGACTGATTTTAAGTAATCCACGAAAATGTAACTTTTTTTTTTGTCCTTTTTTGAATTTTTTTAATATCAAAACACCACAGTTTCGTGAAAAAAAATTTTCTAGAAAATCTTACGTGCAACAAAAAAAAACGTTCATGTAGTTTAAAAAAAAATCAAATCGGAATCAAATTTGGATGATTTTTTTTTCAACCTAGGATAGTTTATAAAACAAGTTATAAACGTTATATGGTATGAGCGCTAATTTTTTTAATTTTTGTATTTGTAACATGATAAAATGAAGATTAAAATATGTAAATGTATTAAGTTTATCATAATCTTTGCAAAGTACATTTAAAAAATCCCTTTTTCTACTGGCTTCTACTGTGTTTTCCCTTAAGAAATAAAATATAAATTCCGAAAAAAAGATTTATTATGAAAAAATTCACCATCAGTAGAAAAATATAACATGTTTTAACTCTGAATTGATACCTCGAATGGGTCAAAATTTATGAAAAGTAGATTAGAAATGGTAAAAATTTTTAAAATTTTGAAACCGTCTCAGATTCTGGGAATCAATTGGTAGTAGCCGTCCAAAATTTTTATTTCTTACCAATAATATTTGAACAAAATTTTAGAAATATATTCTCTACCTCAACGGTACTTTCTTTTGAAGATAAGCTATTGTACTTAGATGACATTAAAATGAAGTAACTGCTATTTATATTTACTTAAAAATTTGCGTTTAATATTCAAAATTTAGTGCCGTTAAAGTGACGGAGCTCTTACCATTCAAAAAGTTTGTATAGATATTGGTGGGAAATGGTAAAGCGTTCCTGCTAGCCTATAAACAGATTCTGCGAATTTGCATGAATTTTAATGCTGTTGTTGGCCGTTAAAGCACTGGAGGTATGATTGTTCTTGTTTTCCAGTGGCGCCATCTATGCCAAGAATTCGACTTCTGACACACCCGTACGTCACACGCTTTTATAGGGCGGATCCATTCATTCATCCACAGATCGTAATTTCGACCTGAACCTGAGAACTATCAATCTCCAATTCAATAACCCCAGAGGTATAATTTGTTACGGGGAAATGGAGGACTTTGTGACCCGACAGATTTAACGTTTCACCATTAGTCACCAGTCCACCAGTCGCCATTTACTACAGGGGTAGTCATCGACCGACTGAATTCGAACTCTCATTCTCACGAACGTGAGTTCAGTACCCATTTGCTTAGATGTTATCTGTACCTAACTATTTAGTTGTATTATCATCTTTAGTCTAATTTTCAAAACTTACGACCCATTAAGGCGGCATAAGATATCAGTTCAGAGTTATGAAATTCTGCCCATTTCCAAATATAGTAGTTGGCAATTTTTCCGCATTACGGCTAAGAGATTTAAGAAGACTTCTCGTGCCCAGACAACACTAGCCACTGGTCATCATACAAAGACTAGTAAAAATCAAGTGAGGGATAGTTTGTATGTTGTGGTGCTGCTAACAACTGTTGATTATAAATATTAAAAAAAATATCTTTTTTTTTCCAAATCCGTATTGTTTTATAGTGTATAAAGCTTTTTCGATTTATGAATTAGAGATATTTTAAGAAATAAGGGCGAAGTTTATCGTCGAGGAGTTATAAATCCGGACAAAGCTTGGCATGCGTGTTTACGAAAATGGACGCGTCTCAAAATGCAAGAATAAGAAAATAGGCACAGCTCGAAATGCGTGTTCATGAAAACTGAGAACTCGAAATGCATGTTTACGGAAATCGGCAAAGATGCGTGTTAACAATAACGGACTCATCTCAAAATGCGTGAAGAAAATAGACATAGCAGTTGATTCAGTTTTTAAAACTTTTTCTAATGCTTTATTCTTTGATTAAAAAATAAACAATGAATCCAAGTGAATTCGTAATGTGATATCGTCCATTTTCATAAATCACTTGATACATTATATTTAATTAGCCTTTTTTAAAATAAAAAATTACCCTAAAAGTTAATATTTGTTTTTACAAGATTACCACGAATACTGTAAATTTATAGTAGTGGTAGTAAATTTACTTAGTAGTAAATTAGAGTTTCAGAGCTAACTTTATCGTTTAGAGTTCTGAATACAAACATATTGACTGAAAAGTTACATACCTAGCCACTGTCTAATATACCAGGTTTTAGGACCGTAAAGATTATGTTTAGTGTTTAAGGAAGTGAGGAAAATTAGCTCTTAATTCCTCGTTTAGTGTTTAATTTGGGAAGAAAACTGAAAAGGCCCATTTTTGGCTGTATCAATTTTCGTATACACGGATTTTGAGCTGTGTCCAGATTTAAAAACTCTCCGACGTAATGCTGTAAATTATTCGTTTTAAGCGCAATTTTCGGCGACTTTTTTCATAAAAATATTTCCCCTTCTACTACAAACATTTACATTACATGGAATGATTTGAAAAACGGAAGAAAATGTTCTTACCTCAAGAGCAGACAGACCAGGTGGCTCTGGAGCGAGCATGATTTTTGAGGTTGGTAACCCCGGACGAAACTGCCTGTAAAATTAAAAGATTCCAAGGCAAGAATTATTAGAGCCAATGCTATTAGCCAGATATTATTATTCAATATTATTAGAGATTTGGAATCATGAGATTTAATCAAACTGCAAAATAACGCGATTTTTTAAAGCAAAATTATTTTTGTTGTTGTAAAATTGGATATTTTTCATTTAAATCTTTTTTCAGAAATGAACTAATTTATTAAGCATTGAAGTTTTTTTAAAAATATTAAATCGTTTTTACAGAAAGATCAAAAAAAAAAAAAAAACACGTTTGAATAAATATGTTTTATTTAAATCACAGAAAAAAGATATATTTTCTATATTTACGAAATCACAAATTCGATATGTCTGTCATTATGCGCAATCACGTGACAGAAACAAAATGTAGCATAACAGACTCTAATGTTATCGCATAAATGGGCTCCATTTGTCTTTGAATCGTCCACTTCAGCTCAGAAACCGTTTTGAGATTCTTCGAATACAATTCGTTCTTAAGATTTCCCTATAGATACCCATCACGTAGATTAAAGTCTGGGGAATAAGACGACCAATTAAAGCCCATTTCTCAGTCATCCGCCAAACCCAAAGTAATCACATGACTCTAAAAGTGACGACAAAAATTGCAGTATGGGCAAAACAAATTTAGTTGTTAGTATTGTTTATTTCCAGAGCTTCTGTATTGTAGATTTTTTGAGATATTACACTTCGCTATTAGAAGAGGCCTTTTCTGGTCACCCTGTAGATTGTTACGGAAAGCACAATTTATGCTTTATTAAATTTTAACTTATTGTGAATATACAACTAATTGCCCTCTAACTTGTAACAGAATAGACTCAATCACTGTTTTTAGAGACTGTATTAGTGATTTTGGAATCATGAGATTTAGGACTATAAAAAAGCTGATTTAAAGAAAAATCGGATTATTTTTTAAAAAAAGTATTAATTGTATTAATTGAAAAAAAATTAAAAGTATTAATTGAAATCACATGCATTGAAGACTTGTAAAATTATTAAATTTTATTTTATTTTTCCAAGTAGCATAATTTATAGATATCTAGGAGTAGTTATTATAATATCTAGGAGTATAAACACGCAATTCTTAACTGTCACACTATTAGCACAATAAGCAAAATCGATTCAAATTGTTTTTACATTTTTCTTCTCACCCTTTCAAAGAAAGTTATTATGTTCAGAAATAGAAAATGTTTTACAGGATGTTCCGTAATGACCTCCCTTATGAACATTTTTCGAATTTTTTTTAAAAATGAAATAAAAACAGTCTTCAAATAAGAGCTCAAACATTAACATTTTAGCGAGGATTAAACAAAAACACTAGCTACAAATATCGAAACCAATGTGGAAATTGGTTAATAATCGATACCAAATAAATCGAATTAATATTGAAAATATCGAAACCGATTTATTTGCATAGTGAAATTTTGAAACATTTTTCTTTTATATTACATTTTTCTATTTTTCCTTCTTTGGCAATTAATTTATCTAAAACTTGATTTCAAAGATGCTGTTTTTCAAAACATATGGTTCAATTTATAGTTTTGGAGGTGGCAGCAAATTTATCATGCATGGTTCAAACCCACCAATATTATGATGGTTTCATTATGATGATTCAATACCAATATTATGATGATTCAATGGCTTTTATGGAAATGTAGCAATTGAGAAACTTACTGTGAGACAATGATAAGCCACAAAAGATTGAATGAAGAAAAAAAAACAGATTTTTGTGAACATGTAGTACATTGTTTCTCTTTTTTGCTAACATATTCATTTTAAAAAGTCAGATTATGAATATAAGTTATAAATTTTATGTTGACAATTACTTTGCTCTTTTATTTCGTTAGAAAGTGATTAAAAATAATAGAATTTTTCTACCTTTCTTTTATTTATTCATGGTAGCACATGCAGGCTTACCACTGTCTGCAAAATAGCCCTACAATATTAGTAAGAAACCTTTTTTATCTCAGGAATCTCACAGTATTTCAAATTTTGATCGTTTTATAAAATTTTCATTCCTGTCTGACTTTTGTTTTTAGGAATTTTTTTAAATAAGTTAAAACATTTTTGAAAGAATTTATTTTTTGATAATTTTCAATGTATTTTCGACAACAAAGGAACTTAAAAGGGACAAAACTTTTTTTTTAAAGCATAAACTCTTTTGATATTTTTACCCTGTTGTTTCATTTAACATGTATCTAAAAATTGCTCCATATTTTCTAAGAGACATTTTCATTAAAAAAATAATAAAATAAAATGTAATAATATACCAACGTTTTAACATTAAAAAAGTTTTGATATATATTTTTAGAAAAACTATCCATACTCACTAAAATTGTCCATATTTTTAATAAATTTTTTCATATTTTAACTTTTGTTATTTTTTGCTATTAGCCTGTAAAAATATTTAAAAAATTTGTTTATAATTGGATATTTTCCCTTCCTAAAATTTTCAAAAAAAATCTATCAAACAAAATGACAAAGTTTTTAATTTCCTTCAGAAAATATCTAAGATATATATGCTCCAAATCTAACTTTATGGCATAAATATCTAAGATATATATGCCATAAAGTAAATATTTAAGATATATATGCTCCAAATTTTTTGTTTATGAGATTTTTTGTTTATGAGTTTTTGTTATTTTTTGTTTTGTTATAAAAATTACGGAATCTGGTGGGAGAAGCGAATTATTTTTCATTGCAGTTTAAATAAATCTGAAATTAAGATTCTTGACTTCCTCTCAGTGTTTTAAAATATGTTTTAATGATTTCAAAAAATGAAATAAACGATTCAATTTTTTAGTTATTTTCAAATATTAAGGAGAAAATTTTGTCACCATTTTAAAAAGATCTAATACCATTATTTATTTTAAAAGAATAAAACAAACCCCTAAATTTTCAAATTTTTTTTGCCCTTTAAGTAAACATTGAAAAATTCTAACCTCGGGATTAGTGACTTAAAATCAAAAGTGGCACATGACTCCTATAGACTTAGAAAATAGGTTTCTTCCCCCAGTAATACATTCGAAAACTGTTTTCTTCATTAAAAAACCGGCTAAAAATACAACTTCATGAATATTAACCTTTAATACTATCATATCAATGGGTTGAAAAGGAAACATACTTGTTGTTGATCGTTTTAAAACAATTGGTTAGGGTAATTTCATGTTGTGTCAAATAGCTCACAGCATGCGTTCCTTGCGGGAGGTTATCAATTATTTTCAACTCCAATCAAATATACAAAGAAGAGATGTCTGTCCATTAATGTGTCAATTCTTACATCAATACTCAACTTAGATGGACAGCAATTCGTTACTTAGTTTATTCGTTGTCAACTTTTCATTGTCGGTGTTCAATTTTTATTAATTATTTTATTTTTTAAAATTAAGAGAACTGCCATTAGTGTTTATTGAGGGGGGCCGAAAAAGTCTTAAGTATCTTAAATCACTTCTCGGAATATCTTCTGTTGCCCCAATTAACTAAAACTAGGCTAAAAAATCAAAGAAAAAATATTATGAAAAATACCTTTTTTATGGATTGGTTGTCATTTTCTTAACCATTTCTTAATATCAGTACTTGTGCAAAATTTTAAAAATATATTCTGTCTTCATAAAGGCACGGAATTTTTATTTCAAACGGATGTATTTAGATTGCATTGAAATATTTATTTAAAAATATGCTTTTAATATCGAGATTTAGTACTGTTTTGTTAACATATTTAGTAAAAATGTTCACAATTTTTGGGCCCATTGTTGTGGCATCAACTGAGGGTTATAAGATGTTGCATCTTACAGCCTCAGTTGATAATTTTGTGATAACCCTCTTAATGATGGTAGTGATGGCTAATGATGGTGGCTAATGATGGTAACACTCAATTATTTGAAACACTTCGATTTTTTAGACAGTACCTGTATTAATGATTGTGGTTGATGAAGAATTATAGAAAAAGATGGTAGATAGTAGTAGTATAGAATAGCATAATATAGTACTTAGTAGCATAATATAGTGTGTACTTGATTCAATCAGCTCAGACCATCTTCAGAGCGAACGTTGCATTCCAATAATGCCTTTTTTTAACACATGTTATTCATTATTAACTAATTTCACTACTCAAACTACTCAGTACAAAATTGGTCCAGAAAATATCGTTTTTTAGAATAAAGGTGCCCTTGTGGCCATTCTTTATTTCATTTTTGTTTTTTTTCCTCCATTTTAAGCTCTTATCAACCCTCCGCTTAATTACAAGCTTTTGAAAAAAAAACAATTTGTTAAAACTTAGCTAGACATTATTAGAAGTTATAGACCTTAAATGATTATTATTTACGTATTAATATGAATATTTTTAATAATAGTAATAAAACATGTGTTAAAAACACATTTTTGAAACCAATTATTTTTATTAAAACCGTCAACACTTGGCAATGAAATATGTGAGGGCAATTATATGAAAAAATATACACAAAAAAAGTATCTCAGTTACAGAACTCGACTCGAAATGGTATAAGAATGCTGAGTAAGAAATGCATTCTTGAAGCAGTGATGCACACGGAAGCCGTAAGTGAATGTCAGTTTTAATAATAAATGTACAAAAAAAAAAAAAAAAAAAAAAAAAAAAAAAAAAAAAAAAAAAAAAAAACATGGGACAAAGTGTTTGAAGTTTCTTCCACCGGCAGACCTCAAAACTACGGCAGATAGAATTCCTAATACTCAGGAATTATCCAGATTCAAAAGGGTAACCTCAAACATGCTAATTTATGAGTGTCAAATTTTAAATAAATCACAGAATCGGACACAAAAACGTCCTTTTTCTGAACAAATGTGTCTTTTTTTAACGGATTTCTGACTATCAAAATATTGTAAGTAGCCGCAATCTGGAACATATCGTTCCGATAGTTTCTAAAGTTCTTTGAAGCTAATTTAACTTTTTGAATATTTTACCGTATCGTGAAAGTTTTTTAAGTAATACGAGAAATGTTTGCG